TACTTCAGTGTGGGTTTAGGAAATCTCAATGCAAAGGGCTGGAGTTGCTACGCTGAAGCAATTTCATGGGGAGATGTGTGTGTATATATTAAAAAAAAAAAAATATATATATAAAAATACACCAAGATGGCATTTTGCTTTCCTAAATACTGTTAGTGTTGAAGCTACTTGCCACGTGGACCGTTTCTTATCCCGGATTTCAGCAAAAAGTCTGAAGGTTTTAAACTGAATATTCCTTGCCCTTTTTATGATAGTTTATCTGTAATGGTGAGTATCGCTTCGAGAGTTTGGGCAGCTGCCAGGCAATCATTGTGGGTCCTAATAAAGCTATGGCTGCGAACGGCCTGCGGGGTGGCCGGGGTCCCTGGGGAGGAAGGGCGGTGCGGCACCGGTGACGTTCCCGTAAGGGCTGATGCGTGGAGATCCGTAACGTTTGCTGCTTTTTTTTTGCAGGTGAATGAAGATTGCCCCAAACTCGGGCAAGAACGACCTTGGTGTGTGAAGTATGCCCCGAGCTGATCTAGTTCAGTCCCCCGTGCGGCTACACGTCTCCTGAGATCCCCTGAATTGGGTTTGTGAACAAACACACAGGCAGCTTTTACGGTACGTGTTATTGCCTAGAAAATTCCTAAATGCCTGAGAAGGGGCAGCGCTGGGGTTACGGCTCGCTGCCCTCGTCCCTTCCCTGGAGTGCCGGCCCCTGCCCAACGCACCACCTTTGCCTGTCCTTGTCCTTGCTCTCGAGTCTTGTCTTTTCAGCACCAAGGGTGCGAGGAGGTCTGCTAGAACCGTCCCTGCTAGGGACGCACAGTGCCCTTTTATGACAAGAGATTTTCATGTCGGTACTCTGAGAGGTGAGGTTGGGTCCAGAGGCACCTGGATAATCTGCTTGCCCAGCAGCTGATGTTGCTTGGGAATAAACTACGCCCGTGCTCCGTCAGAGGCCTGGGGTTCATCGCGTGCCGTTGTGAGACGAACGGGGCAGGAGCTGCCCTGAGCGCAGCTGGGGATCGGGCAGTACGAGGTGAGACCGTGGTCTGTCTTAAGGCTGACATTTCCTATGATTTGCTAAACTAAATTCGTTAAAGGATGTTAAAACAGTAAATTTATTTCAGAGCTTTAACGTGAATCGGATAATTGGGTATGTTTTGTGGGAAAAGGGGATGCGGTGGCTTCTGGTAGCTGTGGCAGCCTCTGGAAGTGCCAGGAAGATTTATTCATCTTAGGTATTTTGTTTGGTTGGAACAGCAGTTCATCCAAAAATGACGGTGTCTGAGTTTGGGGAAAAAACTAAATTGTTTTCCTCTCTGTAGAGCAGGCTTTGGGCCGAAATCTACTGGCTCTACAGAGGCTGGC